CCCACGGTTGCGTTACATCTCCTTTCACACTCTGTTTCATTATCACGGCCAATATAAGTTCTATTGAAATTAATTGAAATTCCTTTCACCGTTGCATTCTCGAACATACAGGGGCCTGAAAAAATGTTAAATTATCAGATTAGGATCGTCACTAGGATATATACATATATATTTAAATTAGTTATAATTACTGATTAGCTGACGAATTGTCTGCCTGAAACACAAGGCTAAATACTTTGACAGGCAACAAATATCATTCTGGGTTTCATAGACTTACATATCAATACTAATAGATAATGGTCGTTTGGGAGAATCCACTTAAAGGAGCATTCCGCAAATTTATGAAGAAGATATGTGTCCCTTAACGTATCTGAAAGTTTTAATTAAATAATCCAGTCATTAATTGTTTAATTTTAAAAAAAAGTTCGTTATGCTTTTTTGGAAACTGTTAGGAAACTACTCTACGGATTTAAGTAAAAAAAAACCTAATTGGAGAGAAACATGTCTCCTATGTATTCGAAAGGTTTCAACTAATACTAGACCTGTTTGACAGATCTGTCAGCTTCCGAAAGCTGTATATAACGAAAACATTACAGCTTCGATCTCAACTCGAAAGCTGTATATAACGAAAGCATTACAGCTTCGAGCTCAACTCGAAAGCTGTAAATATCGAGCCATTATAAAGCCAAACACCAAAACGAAGTCAAACTGTTTAATTAACAATTAGTACTCTCCGTTTTTAATCGACCCTTTAAAAACAAATTTAGTTTGATCATTTAGATACATAGATATAAATAATACGTTAGAAATATTGTCAGGTATAAATCACGACATTTTTGATGATAATACTTTTTGACATAAAAGCGGAATGCCCCGTGCAATATACCAAGTTTTACTTAAACCGTTCTATCCAATAGTTTACTGCAAGTTTTGGCAAATATCACGCTTGAGTTATGTAATATATAATGTATAACTACTATACCTGGTCCACTTGGTCCACAATTCAAACCATTTTCCTGTAATTCAGACCCCTCTGGACACGAACAGTTATAACTACCAGGTTCATTCTGACATTTAAATTCACACGATCCATTATTGGTTGCACATTCATCTATATCTGAAGAAAACAGCAGATAGATTATTAGGGCTGTAAACAGAACCGAGAGTGGCCCGAAGTACCCTTGTCAATTCACTAATGAGGCCTTTTCTTGAACTTTGAGTCTTTTGTAACTCTATAAGATTTCCAGGTTTTCTGT